GCCCTTTCACGAGCAGGATAAAAAAGAAATAACATTTGTCAGTCATATCTAAATTGGACTTCCGGGTGGGCAACCAGAACGAGGTGTTGAAGCTGTGTATTTGTGCCACTAGCTGCTGGAGTCAGCAGGTGCCGAGCAGAGATGGGGAGGTACTTGCTAGTGGGGTCAGCAGGTGGCGAGCAGAAATGGAGAGGTACTTCTTAGTGGAGTCAGCAGGTATCGAGCAGAAATGGGTAGGGACTTGCTAGTGGAATCACCAAGCGGCGAGTGGTGATGGGGAGGGGAGTCAGTAGGAATAGGGACTCGTCATACTAAATTACTCTACTTCTCTTACTCTAGTTCTAAATTACCATTTACATTTCTTCTTAAAAAAAAAACTTTAGTTTCCTCCATGGTATGATGTGTTTCATTGTATTTTGTATACACTGAACTGTATATGTAACCAGTTTATATCTACCCATTCGTTCCATTTACTTTTTCTGGCAGCAGTCTCTCATATCCCAATATGTCGAGCTGAACAAGGTCGGTATGTTGGGATATGGTCATTATCAATGACCATAAACGGTAATAATTATGCCTGATAACCAAATTAGAGCAAAACCAATAATATACTAGGCTAGGGTGTATGTACCAAGAGAAGTAAGTAGCCTTTGTATATACAGTTTACTTTTGAATTCTGTTTAGAATTAAAGATCAGTATGTTAGCGGGTTAAGTATTAAAAATATTTATGGCCTTAACCCTTAATAACTATAATTATTATAATATATATATATATATATATATATATATATATATATATATATATATATATATATATATATATATATATGTGTGTGTGTGTGTGTGTGTGTGTGTGTGTGTGTGTGTGTGTGTGTGTGTGTGTGTGTGTGTGTGTGTGTGTGTGTGTGTGTGTGTGTATGTTTGGTGATGTATTCATTTTGAACATATACTGTAGTCCCTCAATTTATGGGCTATGGGTTTATGCCCTTTATTGTTGTCCAGTGACCTTGAATGTTTAATTTTCGATCTATTACATTTAAATCTGATATACATCCGTTTTTAATAAATATATGAAATATGTATTCAATAATAATAAAACTAATTTATTTTTTCGCGCCAGGCGCCAGGAGGTTTGGCGCGAAAAGCGACCTCCCTCAGCGCTAACGCCGCCATGGTGAAAGTGGCAGGTCGTGTCGGTCGCACTTATTTTACACTCACAACTGTAGAACTTTTAGCAACTCCCAGCAAATATGAGTGTAACGCGTTCGTCAAGCTATAGTGGCGCCTCGAATATAAAGAGAACATGAAAAACCACCAGTTTAGACGTGAAAATTAAGGTGTTAAATCCATTTGGTGCTTGCGGACGATTTGCGCGCGTTAGTGCTCGGACGTGGCACATATGGCGGTAAGAACAGTGATTAAGATCCCTGACGGTGTGAGAACAAGTGCTAAACGTGTGTGTCCCCTTTCCCCGGTCGGTAGTATAGGGAAAGTATAATATAGTATAAAAAGGGAGCCGGTCGGCCGAGCGGACAGCACACTAGTCTTGTGATCCTGTGTTTCCGGGTTCGATCCCGGGCGCCGGCGAGAAACAATGGGCAGAGTTTCTTTCACCCTATGCCCCTGTTACCTAGCAGTAAAATAGGTACCTGGGTGTTAGTCAGCTGTCACGGGCTGCTTCCTAGGGGTGGAGGCCTGGTCGAGGACCGGGCCGCGGGGACACTAATGCCCCGAAATCATCTCAAGATAACCTCCCCCCGTTACGTGCTTCAAAATTATATGAAAGGCAGACATTGAATTTTGTATATTTAGAAATTGCCAAGTTTTCGGTCATGTAGAAAGTGCCCGGCTACTTCTTGAGCGTAAAACACTATAGTGTGAGTTCAAATGTTGTTAAACATAACAGCTAACATTGGGTGGTTTTTAGCGTTTGAAATGTCTTTGTAACCCGTTGAACATCAAGCTGACCAGACAACGTTGTATACAAGGAAGCAGCCAAGAGCTCCAGCGTTAGATGAAAAGGCGGAAAGTTCTCCCTCAACACTACGCTAACTCTCTCGGGTAATTAAACAACTGTTCAGTTTCTGTAGAGTACTATTTTGTCCCCGGGGAACGCATCCCTACATTATCCCATTGATTCTTAGGTTTAGATTTACGTATATGTAGTGAGAATAATTATATTATTCTGATTATATAAGTAAAAATTATGACTACACAGTATATAATTTTAAGCATTATATATAATGATTTTCTATAGATTTCGAATATAATATATAATGATTATGATTATATACTGTAAGTATATAGTAGGCATCCATCAGTCATAGATATTTATATATCTATAAATATATATACAATATACATTGATCGCCTAGAGCATATTTTTAAATATATATTTTTAGACATGTCTAAATATATATATTTTTAGAAATCCATGTCTATAATCAGTAATTGCAATTAATATTCCTGGTTATTATATACACTATTAATTAATGATTTTGATGGGCATAATTTGTACTTAATATAATATTTATAAAAATTTTTAATAATCATTATATAGTATAATTATTTTTTTTAATAGAAAGAAAAGAGTACCACCTCAGGTTGGAAGAAGGGGGACCCTTTATATATACTTACAGTAAGTATATAATATTATAATTATACTGTAAGTATATAATATTATAATTATATAATGATTATAATTATTATAAATATTATATTAAGTACAAATTATTCCCATCAAAATAATTAATTAATAGTGTATATAATAACCATATGAATATTAATTGCAATTACTGATTATAGACATGGATTTCTAAATATATATTTTAGATATTTATAGATATATGCACTTGTATCAATGTAAAAGTATTCAAGACAAAGATTGTTTATGTCTATATAGAAAATTATTATAGATTATCTTACAGAGAATCACCTAAGAGTCGAACATTCTACTCCTCTATCATGAGGTATTTGGGGATGCTCTAGGCGATCACATAAACAGTATAGTATACTGTATGTTGCTTACATATTATCTATATTTAGCCTATGATTATAGATAATGAGTAATTCATATTGGGAATGAATATACGTATGTACTGTCATTGATAAAGAAGAATCAAAAGCATATTCGAAAACTAGATTTTTAATTTTTCTAGTAAACATATAATAATTACAGTATCAGTTTGTTCTCTTATATTTCAAAGATATTCTGAAATTTGCAGATGAAAACACAAAATGCATAGAAAGCATGTATTTGTGATGAGCTAAGGAGGATTTGTTTGCTTTTATTAATAAAGTAAGGAAAATACTTCAGTATTGTCACAAAGAATCCGAGAAGAATTATTGAGAATTAGGTACTGTATTCTCTTAGGGCATATTTATTGAATTAATGATACCAAATGAAAATGTATTAAGTAAGTATGAAAACTTTTAGCATTTATGTGCTTTGCTTTTGACTGGTAAATTCCGACTATTTTCAGTAGTTTTAAGGCTTTTGCTTAATTTCTTTTTTTAGAGAGTTTTAAATAATTTAAAACACATATTTTGTATTCTACAAAGTTAATTTTAGTTTAATGAATATTTTTGATGCAAGTGGAATGCATAATATGTGCTGGGAGAATGAGTATAGGGCAGGTGGGAGGGTGGTAGGCTGGTAGAAGGGGGTTTTGTACTGTACAGTATTTTGAACTTATTTAAATGCATTTTTTTTCATTTTCCTAGAGAAAAAAACGGAAAACTATTTTTTACTTGCGTTGTAAAGACAAAAGAAAGTTCTGTTACAAGTGTTCAAGAAATGTGTATGTATTTCATTCATAATTAGGTACTACCAGAAATCTGAAATAAGAAATATAAAATACTGAAATAAGTTCAGTATTTTGAACTTATTTTGAACTTATTTAAATGCATTTTTTTCATTTTCCTCGAGAGAAAAACGGAAAACTATTTTTTACTTGCGTTGTAAAGACAAAAGAAAGTTCTGTTACAAGTGTTCAAGAAATGTGTATGTATTTCATTCATAATTAGGTACTACCAGAAATCTTGATCAAATATCCAAAGTTTGCTTACTATAGGTAAGCAAACCACATATATAAATTGCTCGATTTAGAGATTTTGTGGCCCAGTTCTGGAACCAGATGTAATATGAAAGACTATTAATATATACAATGAGAAACCAGCCTACCCAATTGTAATTTGCGTAGTTAAATGAATTTCAGATTCAATTCCTGAGCCCATTATGTGTCTCTAGCCTTTTCAACTACCGCCCAAGGGATGGGTATGGGGTGCATAATACATGAACCAGATTTATCAGTGGAAAAACAAGCAAAACTTACGGTAAGAAGAAGTCTTGCAAGTTCCCGCACTTGCTTGAGACATGCCCAACCCACCACCCTGTGTGTGTGGCGTCCCCACTGTCATTATTACTCTAGTCGCTCTCCTCCATACACTCACTATATTCATCCATCACCTAGGGTCGCTCCCGCCCCATACAATCCCCGGATGCTAATAATGTTTCTCGTTAATTTTTGACGAAGAGTGAAGCCCCTTCTATCTGAAACATCAGAGTTGTCAATATTACCCCCTGCTGACAGTTCTGGCGTAATGTATTTTTTGCATGTTAATTTGCTATTTGTACTAAAGTTTAGACGAGTGTCGTATTGATATCGGTTGTTATGGCATCATTTACTGTTGCTAGCATTGTTTTAGTGGTAGCACTGGCGATCTTGGCGATATTACGAGATCGGGAACTTAATATAGCTTGGAGCGCGAAATTAAACGGCGGCGAAATGGCCAGAAGAACCTTCAGTATGCGAGTGCGCGAACCTCCCTCCCTACCTCTTCTCTCCTACCAACCCACCCTTCCACTTCCCTCCCGCCGACCCACCCTCTCCCATCCTAGCAACCCTCCCTCCCTCCCAGCTACCCCTCTCTCCCATCAATCCCTCCCCAGTAACCCCCACTCTCCACCCTCTCAGGCTCCTCAGCTGAGCTCAGTCTTGCTCGGGCAGTGGTAATGGTTGGTAGGTTGGCTCGACGCTCGTGCGTTTTGTCTGTGTGCTTATACATGAATACGTTGAGTGCCCTTCACACCAGGGATTGAGCTGGTCTTGGGTTGTCCTGAGGGTAAGTGTCGGTGGCGGCAGCCCGCACGGGCTTGGCCGTTGTTGTTGGTAAAGAGAGAGAGAGAGAGCCAGAAAAGTCAAACCAGGACAAGGGAAAAAATTAAAGCCGTAAATATTAGCTTGGGGTGTAATGTATGCAGACATGTCTTATAATACATTGCAGACTATAGGATTGTTTCTTGGTTAATATTGTGCACGATTGTTATCTTAGTATGAAACGTGAATATGCACAACAACAACATGTGTGAATGATATACTGTATACGGTATGTACAATAATCAAGGAGACAACTTTGCGTATTTCCTCGGTCATAATAAGGAGTGAATTTCATTATTAGAAGAGTCGAAGTAAATGGGAGATTTAATATTTTAAATAGTTTGTTCACCATTAGTTCCCGCCAGCTGACTCATTTAAAAACTCCTTTTGATCTTTGTAAACAAAACGTGAATGTTTTAGGCCTTTGAATTGTCGAGTTTTTTCTTAATTGGTTCACTTAGTTATAGCTAGTGTTTATTGTTGAAATTTTTAATAACAGGGAGTGCCTGGCTGTCTAGTTATCGACGGGTAGTGCCTGGCTCTCTAGTTAGTGACGGGTTGTGCCTGGCTCTCTAGTTAGCGACAGGTAGTGCCTGGCTCTCTAGTTAGTGACGGGTTGTGCCTGGCTCTCTACTTAGCGACAGGTAGTGCCTGGCTCTCTAGTTAGCGACAGGTAGTGCCTGGCTCTCTAGTTAGCGACAGGTAGTGCCTGGCTCTAGTTAGCAACAGGGAGTACCTGGCTCTCTATAGTTATCGACGGGTAGTGCCTGGCTGTCTACTTAGTGACGGGAAGACCCCTGCTTGTCTACTTAACGACGGGTAGTGCCCGCTTATCTACTTAGTGACGGGTAGCGCCTGACTGTCTACTTAGTGACGGGTAGCGCCTGCTTCTCTAGTTAATGACAGGTTGTAACATCTCTTTCCCCTGAAAACTACCAACAACTTGGGCTGGACGGTAGAGCGACGGCCTCGCTTCTTGCAGGTCGGCGTTCAATCCCCGACCGTCCAAGTGGTTGGGCACCATTCCTTCTCCCCGTCCTATCCCGAATGCTTATTCTAACCCCTTCCCAGTGCTATATAGTCTAATGGCTTGGCGCTTTCCTCTGATAGCTCCCTTCCCTTCCCTTCCCCTGAAAACTGTAGCACCTTTCTCACCCTCTGCACCACTGTGCTTACCTAGGTTGTGCTTACGGGAGGGTTGAACTTTGGCTCTTTGGTCCCGCCTGTCAACTATCAATCAGCTGGAGTACAGATTCCTGAGCCTATTGGGTTATGTATTCACCTAGTTGTGCTTGCGGGGGATGAACTCTGCTCTTACGGCCCGCCTCTTCACTGTCAATCAACTGTTACTAACTACTAACTAATTTTGTCTCACACACACACACACAAGAATTTTTTCAGTGTCAGAGTAGTAGACAAACGGAATGCATTAGGAAGTGATGTGGTTGAAGCTGACTCCATACACATCTTCAAGTGTAGATATGATAGAGCCCAATAGGCTCAGGAACCTGTACACCTGATGATTGACGGTTGAGAGGCGGGACCAAAGAGCCAGAACTCAACCCCCGCAAGCACAATTAGGTAAGTACAATTAGGTAAGTAAGTACACACACGCACGCACACACACACACACACACACACACACACACACACACACACACACACACACACACACACACACACACACACACACACACACACACACATACACACCAGTTGATTGAGTACACAGGAAGCAGCCCGTAACAGCTGTCTAACTCCCAGGTACCTATTTACGGCTAGGTAACAGGGTCATCAGGGTGAAAGAAACTGCCCATTTTGTTTCTGCCATCACCGGGGATCGAACCCGGACCCTAGGATTACGAGTCCAGAATGCTGTCCACGCAGCTATCAGGCCCCCTCTGTAACACTCAGTGCAGTTCCTGCTTACCAAACAGTTGTTTACATCCCTATAGATTTATTATAATTCAAAAGAGTTAAAGAGTTGATTTATTATTGAAGAATCAAGAGAGGTAAAATTTATGATTTAGTATTGTACGTATTATTTAGTAATTGAAATAGACCTCGTAACTAACTATAATCCATACAAGCAATCCAGGTTGCTTGTATGGATTAAATTGCTACTTACAAAAAGTTGATACGGCCCCACTCCCCCATCACCGCAACACCTAGACCACCTTCCCCTCACCGGCTCTGTTTTCACGTCCCCCCCCCCCCCCCTGACTAGCCCTGTTGCCTCTTCCCCCCCCCCCCTCCACCAACCAACATGGGTTGTTTCACCTTTTTTCTTTGTTTACAAGTAAGGCTGTAGTCTGGTTGCCTACGTAGAGCGACAGGCGGTAGTCTGGCTGCATAGTTAGAGGGACAAGCAGTGGCAGGTTGTCCATGTGGAGTGACTAGCGGCAGTGCCAGACTGTGAAGGTAGAGTGACAGGCAGTGCCTGATTTTCTATTAGTGACAGGCGATGCCTGAAACGTTGCGTATAGGCTGGTGCCGGGCCAAACGACATACAGCAAACTGGATAATGGGCTTAAGTATATACAGTATATTTTTTTTTTTGCCAGCACATGCACCAGATTTTGTCTGAAACATTGTTGCAGATTTGATACCTGTGAATAAATTATTTTGCATTAGACAGGTCTGAATATTTGCATTAGCTTTGCATACTCGACGATTGATTGATTTAGCAGAACAAAGTATAATTATATTCTAGAATGCCTTGCATGATTAGCAAGGATTTGTGTGACATCCTTGTCGAACTCCCCCACTTAGTTTGGATGCCTTTTTGGGCATTCAGTATATAAATATTTAGTAAATTTATCCTGAACAATTCTCACGAAAGGCTTATCATTATTTGCCTTTATTTATCTCCATATTTTATCTATATTTATCTAGAGCCTATTTCGATTTTTGCAGTTTCTTCGGTTCTTGTCTAGGATGTTAGTCTGATGGTAAATTCTTGATCTAATGTTTAATATGTCCATTTGTTTCAAGTTGCACATAGAGCGCCAACAATTTTTTAAGGTGTAGGGTATTATAGGATTACTTGACAATTTATTTCGTAATTATTTTGTAATCATTTTAAGTGCTGCAGACGTGTAATTAGTAATTGACGCTACGTTGTGTTGGGATTTGAGCGTAGTGGCAGGTACCGGAACCGGTTAGGGTTTCCAACTGGGAGTGGTGGTGATGGGGGAAGGGTTGTGTGTGTGTGTGTGTGTGTGTGTGTGTGTGTTTGTGTGTGTATACTCACCTAGTTATTCTTGCAAGGGATGAGCTTTGGCTCTTTGGTCAACTGTTGTGTTGACCAAATTGTGTTAGTAGGTATTAGCATGAGGCTACAAGAAGCTCCACGAGCACACAACTGTTGTAGGTAATTGATGTTGCTAGTTTAGGCTTATAGTAGATTGAGTTTTGAAACTTCACAACCTAAAGTTGTTATAGTTACAAGCAACTTCGTAGTGCTCTGGAGCTGTAGTGTTTAATATGAATAAAACCGTCATGATTGAGGAATTGGTTGCGTAAATGCTTGAAGAACCTGGCCTTTGAGTGAACGAATTATGGACGAGCTTGATTGAGATAATCAACTGCCCTTGTAGATTAAGATTTGTTTAATTTAGAATGTGATATATTCGGTGTTTATTGTGTAAATACATTTTTGTAATCGTTATTAATCAATTGACATTAATTTTTGTCAAAAGCAGAAAATCTCTCCTCTTGAAGCGAAAAAAGGAAGTTTGTGACGTTAATAGCCTAGTAGGTTTCGGCAATTTAAATGATGTGATCTCGAAATTTGGCACATACTTTTGACCCATGACTTTTGCTGTAGGTGTGTAAACGAGATAATGATATGGAATTACTATACTGTCACAATTGTTACTGGAGTGAGGCTTCCAGCTGCTTCAGATATCGGTTAATTGGTGTATTTGATAAAGTTTCTTACTGTAGTTCTTCCGTAGTTTTAGCGGCAACTGAAGCATTATGTTCTCGGGGATGCTGTTCGTTTGTGGTTTATTAAGAGTCTTCGTCTGACCGCGTACCGTAATTGATCAAAGTGTTTATCATTAGTTATCATTGTTTTCATATTTGATAATTAGCGCTATAATTAGTATAATTTTTCCGTTGATACGATAGATTGGAGGCATTGGCCAATCCATAAACCCCATTCCAAATTCTCAGGGCCTGTTTGCCATCTGGGTTATGAGGGGTATCTCATTACGCCGTTGGAAAAAATTGTTACTCAAAACGCCACCAAAATGTTTGGTCACCAACACCACACAGTCTTTTGGGAACCTGGAATGAGGCTTAGACTTAAGAAGTGGCCGAGGCAGCTAACCCTCCTTACTCTCCTGCAAGAAGCAACTTCTCACGGTGAAACTATACATGGACTTTTGCTATATTTTATGAATTATTACCGTTTAGTGAGGCTTTTAGTTTAGTGAGTTTATTAAGGTGGTTGTAATATTAGTAAATAAAGTAATTATTCGTTTTAAATAGTGCACTAATCATTCTGCTAAGAGTTTGTTGCTATGCTGTGTTGACAGCCCATCCTCTTAAAATGAAGGTATATACTGTATATTATCTATTTGGTCGAAAGTACCAACATGTAGTGATGGACCACCAGAAAGCTGACTTTTGTATTATTGAATTTGAACAAACTGGAAACTTGGTACTTTCGACCAAGTAGTTTCTAAAAGTGCTATCATCATTTCAGGAGGATGGGTTTTTCTCGAGTATAGTATTTGGCCCGGTGATGTTAGACCTTGAGAGAATATCACTGACAGTGTCACACGCAAAATGTGCGAGAGAGGTCGTGTGGATGTGCAGTTACAGAGCATTTTAGATTTGTGTTTATATATATATATATATATATATATATATATATATATATATATATATATATATATATATATATATATATATATATATATATATATATATATATATATCTCACTAGTGCCCTTG